CTGCTGTCAGATGTGTGTGTGTGTGTGTGTGTGTGTGTGATAAATCTTTGTTATGAGGGAAGGTTCACTGGGTAGGGGTATTCAGCAATGAATGTCATATTAAAACAAAGACATCAATAAAATTTGAAAAATAATTTCTCAAAGAGGAATGGAGAAATATGGGGCTTTTTATCTCCTTCAGTTTCTACCATTTTAATGTTGCTTTTTCCTTGACCTATTAAAATTCCTCTTGCAGTTTTCTTGCCTTGGTAACCAAGCTTTATATGCTCATTAACACTTCCCAGTACAGCTGGGTAGTGATTAATGGAAGTAGATTAATTGCCAGGTCCCCAAGCAAAACTTTGCAGTGATCCTTGATAGACATTTGCCATCCATCATGGCCAGGGCTGGAGCAGCCCTCCTTTCATTGGTTTTCAAGCTCTGCTGTTGTATTTGTAAGAATAAGATAGTTTTCTTCCTGTCTGAGAAGGAATCTGTCATCAACCTGAAGGCAGAGTTCTCAGCATTTGCTAATGGCTTCCTTAATAAAATCGTAATACCTTTCTACTTTGTGTGCTTCTAAATTTAACAGTGATATCTTAATTATCAAATCAGATGGATTTCTTCAAACTTTTTTTTTCAAAAAAATTCTTCATTTTTGTTATTCTGAACTTTACAAACACTGACAAATAAAAGCACTTGCATAAACATAGAATGACCATGAGACAGTTTGAAACTTAAAATGTAACAAAAAATTTAAATTAAAAAAAACTTGGAACAAATCAGCATAAACAAGCAAAACACCCCCCACACACACACACACAAATGGCCATGCCCAAAAATGTTCCATTCTGTACCATGAGTCCCTCATCTCTCTGCTGGGAGGTGGGTAGCATCTCTGGTCTGCTGGGGTTAGAGTTGGTAACACTGCATTGATCCACGTTCTTAAGTGTCTAAGAGTCGTTTGTCTTAACAGTGTTGCAGTTACTGTGTACGTTTTTATCCTAGCCCTGCTCACTTTGACTCAGCCGTACAGGACTGTGCAGGTTTCTCTGAAACTGTCCTTTTCATCATTTCTTATGGCACAGTAATAGATTCTCTTACATTCAAATGCTGCATGTTGTTTCTTTTCCCTGTTGGTGGATACACCTTCAGCTTCTGGATTTTTAATTTAACAAAACATAGTGTTTTAAATATGTTTGTGCAGTATCAGGCCTTTGTCTCTTTTCTTTGGTCTCTGGGTCAAAGGATATGCACTGTTTAGTTGATTTCCAGGGTCTAGTTTCACATCGTTTTCCCGAGTGGTTGGACCCAGCACAGCCAAGAACAGCACTTTAGTGTACCTGGCATCCCAGAGCCCATCTGGCAATTGTCATTTTCTTTGTGTAATCTTTGCCAATCCTCATTCTTCTTCCTTTCAAAAAATTATATATTTTTTCTATCCTCAAAAATCCACCTTCTCTCCCTCCTATCACAAGCTTCCCCTCTCCCCATGGAGAACAAAGGAAAAACAACACCCTTATTACAAATCTGTGTAGTCAGGCAAAATAAATTTCTGCATTATCCATGTACAAAAATATGTTTCAGTCTATAGTCTTGAGTCCATCGCTTTTCTGCCAGGAAGTGGGTAACATGTTTTATCATGAACCCTCTGGAATTGCAGCTGGTTATTGTGTTGATCAGAGTTGCTAAATCTTTCAAAGTTATTTGTCTACTGTGTTGTTGTCTTTGTATAAATTGTTCTTCTGGTTCCATTCACTTCCGTCTGCATCAGTTCATGCAGGTCTTCACAAGTTTCTCTGAAGCTCTCTACCTTTTTTTTACAGCACAATAGTATTCTGTGACATTTAGGTACCATGATCTGTTCGGCCATTCCCCAATTTATAGGCATCCCTTGAGATTTGCTTACTTTGCTGCCTCAAAAGATACACGCGCGCACACACGCGCGCGCACACACACACACACCCATAGGGTCTGTTTTGCTCAGGATGACTCCTTCCCGGAGTTTACCCTCCCTTTAAATCCTCTTTCTCTTATTTCCCTAGTAAGTGAAAGCAGTTTTTGTGCCCATCGCTGTGTGTGTATTCTTTCCTCTTTTGATCTATTCCGATGAGAATGAGGTTCAGGTGTCTGCCACTCTCCCCCACTGAAGTAAGGCTGGAAGAATAAGTCCCTGGCTTCTCTTTGGTCCATTCTGATTTTCAGGGTGTCTGTTTGGGTAAGGTTTTGTACCTGTTGTGCCAAGCTGTTAATTCAGTTTTCAGTTCCTTCTTCCATAGCTCTTATTTCTTTTCCATTTTTTTCCTCTAATACTCTCATTTGTAAAAACATTTTAAAACCTTTTTTTTTTACCTCCTTCGTTGTCCCTTCCAGGAATTCTAATTGAATTTGTTCCTGTGCTATTTTTCTTTGAGGCTTTCCTTGTAGATGTTTTGGAGTCATTCTCTTTTTCTGAGTTTATGTCCTGAATGATCTTGTCTCGTCATAGCATTTTATCATAGGATTCTTGTTTGTTTGTTTGTTTGCAGATTCCTCCAGCCTTACTTCCTGACTTCACACTTGATGTTAGGCCTGGTTCTGTGTGCTCATGTAGGGAAAGTGTGGGCTGGTCCTCCTGGGGTGTTTCTTGGGGTGTCGAATGTCAGGCTCTCGGGGACAGCTCTGGCTTGGGACCTGCCGGCTTTCAGTGTCCCCACAGTGGTCTAATCTGATTAGATTAATCTGATCTAGTCTGATTGCTGCCCCCTGGTCTCAGCTTTGCAAATTGCCAACAGTAGACTGCTGCTGGACTCAGCCATGGTCACCTGCTGCAGGGCCCTGCTGCTTCAGACTTCCCGGCCCCGCTTGGGTCTGGGATTGCCTCTGGTTCTTCCTCTGCAGGCTTCAGACTGGGCTCTTCTGCTCCTGGGCCCTGAGCCACAAGAACCTGCTTGCTGCAGAACCTGCTTCTCTCTCAGTATACTATTTAGGGCCTGAGAGCCCTAAGGATGGGGCAGGGAGGGAGGGCCAGGTCCTCTCTCAGTCCACCCTGGAGCTGAGACCGGGGAAGGGGGTGTGGGCAATAATGCTGCCAGTTCACACCTGGTACCCTCGTGGTGCCTGCTGCAGGAGGAGTCTGTGGGGGCCTCATACGGGGCTGGGACCGCTTCTCGCCCCTCTCTGCGCACTGGTGTGATCTGGTGGCGCGAGAAGGTTGTGCTGACCCAAGGTGGAAAAGATTATTCACTGTAACTTTTTCTTGGATTTCCCCACCCAGCTTCAGCCTAGTTCATTTTCTAAATTGGCTTTGGAGTTGTCGAGGGCGAGGGAAGGGTAGCGCTTCATCGCACTACTTTCTGCTCCTCCGCCACCTTGGCTCTGCCTCAGCCAAACCTCCTTTTTCCTGACTTCCTTACAGCATTTGATGCTATGGACCATTCTTTCCTCCTTAATATTCTCTCCTCTTTGGTTTTTTGTGACGCTGCTTTCTCTTGGTTTTCTTTCTACTTGTCTGACTTCTCCTTAATATCTTTATCCATGTCACAACCCTTAACCTTGGGTATATCCTAAGACCCTGTCCTAGTCCCTCTTCCCTTCTCCTCTCCTCCTCTCTCCTTTCCCCTCCTCTTCTCTCGTCTCATCTCCTTTCCTCTCCTCTTCTCTCATCTCGTCTCTTTTCCTTTCCCCCTCTCCCCTCTTTTCCTCTCTCCTCCTCTCCTTTCCCCTCCTCTTCTCTCTCCTCATCTCCTCTCCTTTCCTCTCCTCCCCTCCCTTACCCTCCCCTCTGCTTCCCTCTCCATACTTTTTGTGATCTTGTCAGCTCCTTTTACTTTAATTATAATTTTAATGTAGATGACTCCCCGATCCAGTCCTAGGCTTTCTCCTGAGCTATTTTTCAGATATGTTCCATAGCTATCTCAAGCTCAATACATCTAAAACAGAACTAATTTGTCTTTCCCCCAAACTCCCCCACTTCTGAACCTCCATGTTTCTGTTGAGGACACCACCATCCTCCTCATTATCATGGTTCACAACCCCAGAGTCACCGTCAACTTCATACTCCCACTCATTCCACACATCCAGATCTTATTAATGCTCCCTCCTCTGGTGTGTCTGTCCTCTTTTCTCTGCTCACACAGCCAGTACCCCAGAGTGTAGGCCCAGACTATCACAGCAGCCTCTAACTGGCCTCCCTGCCCCAGGGCTCTCACTACTCCAAATCCTGCTCCATGCAGGTGCCAGAATGATATTCCTGAAGCACAAACTTAACCGTGTTACTCCCCTGCTCCAAAAACTCCCGTGGTTCCTTATTCCCTTTAGGATAAAATGGAAGCCTGACATTTAAAGCCCTGCATGGCTCAGCCCCAGCCTTTCTTTCCAGCCTAATGATAATACTCCCCTGTATGCCCTCCCCCATCCAGCCAGAATGGCCTTCATCCTTCTCCTCCTTGTACAGACCACTGCCATCTCTCACCTCCGTGCCTCGCACGGATGACCCTCTCTCCTCCTGTCAGCCCCGAGCATCCTTAGTGACCCTCAATGCCAGGCTCGTGTGGCTTCCTACACAGAGCCTTCCTGCATCCACTGCTGCCAGGGCTCCTCCTTTTTTTTGTACCTACTTTCTCAGTCTCTTTTTTGTAGAGACAGGGATGTGTACATGCTGCCTCCCCCAACAGAATAGGCTCCTCCAAGAGCAGGCCCTGTTTGCTTATCCACAGTGCCTGGCACAGAGCAGGGGGTTAATAAATGCTTTACTGATAAGTGACCACATGCATGTGAATAAGTATCGGGTAAACAACGTTGGCAGAATATCGTGGCATGTAGCATTTGAAGTAGACCGTTCTTGGAGTGGACATTTCTGTGGGAAGAGCAGCGTCCTGAATTGTAAGTAAGTGAATACTGTCCAGCCCCTCTCTGGCATATCAGAAAGACTCTCCATATGCATGTGTGAGTCAGTAAAATCACCCAAAGACTGAATCCAGAACTTACCCCTTCAGCCGTGTGACCACCTTTGTTTATTTGTGATTTTCCTTCTATTTCAGGCACCCAAAAAGAAGGGAGGAGGAGGAAAGAAAGGAAAAGCCAAAGCTCCACCCATTGTCGATGGCATCCCACCAGAGGAAATGAACAAGGAGCAGGTAGGAGCGTGGCCGGGAGCATGCTTGCCCACCCCAGGCGAGAGCCCAGGTTTGAGCCTCTTAGAGGTATCGTCGGGAAGACAAAGCGCATTTGTTATTGCCAGCACCAAGCTCATTTAAAAATGTTTAAGCCCCGCACAGAACCTTCTCCTTCAGTGCAGCATGTTTATGCTGAGTGCTTTGGTTTCTTGCTCTTGTGCTCCAGAATACCCTGATTATATTTCATGCCATGATTCAGAAAATGTCTGCCGTTCTTCCTTGGCCCTTACCTCCCCACCTTGTCTGAGTCTACAGGTGGAGGAGCACATTATGCGGATTAGGGAGGAACTGGACCGGGAAAGGGAGGAACGTAACTACTTTCAGCTAGAGCGAGACAAGATCCACACCTTCTGGGACATCACGAGGAGGCAGCTGGAGGAGAAGAAGGCAGAGCTGCGGAACAAGGACCGAGAGATGGAGGAGGCCGAGGAGAGGCACCAAGTCGAGATTAAAGTGAGAGATGGCCCACTCATTTCTGTGTGCCAGGAGCACCTCCAGTGTTGCTGGGCGGATTCCCCACTCTGGGTGAGAAGGGTGGGCTAGGAGGCTGTGCCCTGGCACTGGAGAGGACCTGCCTGTGCCCGTGAGATCGCTGCCCCGTTGGAGTTTAAGCGGTCCTGGCTTATCCTTGTGGTGTATGGCCTGGGCATCCTCCAGAAGGGAGAGACAGGACATGGTCTTGGAGGGGGAACTTTGACCGCTGTTTCTTTCTCTCTCTGTGTAGGCAGTCGAGAGTGCACAGGCCCTGTGTTTTCTCTGTGTTTTCTCTTAGGTTTACAAACAAAAAGTGAAGCATTTGCTGTATGAGCACCAGAACAACCTGACGGAGATGAAAGCTGAAGGGACCGTGTCCTTGAAGCTGGCACAGAAGGAACACCGCACACAGGAGAATGAGATGCGTAAGAACGTGCGGTTCCTCAAGGTGGAGCTGAAGGAGCAGGAGCTGGCCAACGAGGTGGTGGTGAAGAGCCTGCGCCTGGTATGTGTGCCTGCCCAGGAGGCGATCCTGGCGAGGCCGTTCTCAGCCTCATAAAAAAATCAGTCTCAATAATGTGGCTGATGCCGGTGTAACGTGGGTGGGTGTCACTCTGACGGCCCCCAGTCCGCTCGCGGAGATGCAGGCCATCGCAGGGGCATTCCCTTGGAGCTGGACACACAGCTCCTTGGGAGGGCTCGTCAGAGTGACCACCCTGCTACACTAACATCAGGAAAGCTCACTCAGTAACGCTTTAGATCAAAGCATTGGCAATCCTGAAGAGGCAAAGGCAGGACTCTCATTCTGCCACAGATGCAGTCACATGGGCAAGTCACAGAGATTCTCCTCAGAATTAAGAAGAGCCTCCGAGCCTTTCTCTGAAACGCAGAGATAATAATGCTGGCCTTATTTACCTCACAGAATTGTCATGAGGAAAGCAATTTATAAACCTCAGAATGCAGAATCTGTGGAAGTCATTCATCGCAGCCAGATAGCTAGGAGGAGTAAAATAAGGTCACTTTACATAGTATGTGACTTTATCACCAGAGCTTAGGATTCTCCCTCTTAACAGCATCCTAGGGCGTGTTGATATAAAATGGATTTTGGAATCAGTCTTTAGCTTGTATAATTCAGAACACAGGCCTGGTGTGTCTAGAGTCCCAGGGGTGGAGAGCCTGTGGCCTCAAGGCCTTCTAGGTCCTCAGATGTGGCCTTTGACTGAGTGCAAGTTTTACAGAACAAATCCTTTTTTGAAGGGGATTTGTTCTGTGAAGTTTGGATTCAGTCAAAGGGCCACACTTGAGGACCTAGAGGGCCACATGTGGCCTCGAGGCCGCAGGTTACTATGGGATACACAAGAAACCAGGGGCAGAGAGTGTCTGCTTTCAGGAAAAACATATTTTGAGATAAAGACGTTTCTTCTTTTCCAGTTTGTGAGAGGCACAGGCCACGTTGAATATACTTCTGTGCGCATGGGGAGTCAGTGCAGTCTTGCTAATGTCTTCATAAATCCAGGTGTAACTTTCTCCCAGGCCAGTAAAGCTTTGGAATGTGATAGTTCTCACAATCATTCTATCCAATGTAATGCATGCTTCCATGACACTGAGGAGAAACTGATTCACCGAAGGGTTTTCTAGGCAGCAAAGGTACCTCGCTGACCTGAGTGTGGCTGCCCTGAATTGACCATCGATTTTTGCGATGCTCCTGTAACACTGTTGTTTTTCTTTAAAGATTTTTTTTTTATAGGCAATTTTATAGGCCCAGGGTCACACAGCTAGTAAGTGTCAACTGTTTGGTCTGAGGCTGGATTTGAACTCAGGTCCTCCTGACTTCAGGGCCGGTGCTCTATTACGCTGTTGTTTTTCTTGACAGAAACATGACGAGGAGATTACTCGGATGAGGAATGACTTTGAGAGACAAGTACGAGGTTTGTCGTATACTCTGGTAAATGTCTACCTCTTCTGTCCCAAAACAGCTTGACCAACCCAGCTTCCTTACCAGAAGGGTGTTTGTCCTGGGGGCTGCTGTAGTGAGGCCCTTGTCATTCAGAAAAAAAGGGGAAGGGGGCCATTCCCAAGGTGCTCTGCTTCCTCATCACTGGAGGGTGGGTTATTTGTAACTGTAAAAGAACGTGAGACACCACATGCCTTTGCATCCCTGTGCCATGGGACATCCGTCTGCATGTGGTCCTTCTCCAGGGCCGTTCAGACAGAGTCCTTCAAGTGCCCTTGTCCCTGCTTCCGGCCCTTTGCTCAGCTGTCTGTGAGGGCTCCGGTCAGTTCTCTGTGGGTGTCGCTCAGTAAAGCATCTCCGGTCAGGCTGTAGCGTGACAGTTCCACTGGGCGTCCTTCGGTACTGCTGATCCCCAAGGGAGCATCGGGCAGTGGGGCCAGTGTTCTGGAGTCCAGAAGGACCTCGTGGGTCCATTAGTACTTAGAGCCTCTCTGGGTCCTGGTCTGCCACTGCTAAACTGCTCTGTGCACTGTTTTCCTTCAGAGATCGAGTCCAAGTATGATAAGAAGATGAAAATGCTTCGAGATGAGCTAGATCTTCGGAGGAAGACAGAGATCCATGAGGTGGAGGAGAGGAAGAATGGCCAGATCAACACGCTGATGAAGAACCATGAGAAGGCCTTCAGCGACATCAAGAACTACTACAACGACATCACCCTTAACAATCTGGCGCTCATCAACTCTCTCAAGGTACCCCACCCCTGCCCCTGCTGCTCTCCCTGTCTCCAGTGAGCCTCCGTAAGACCGGGATCGTTCGCAAGAGAACTAAGTCTCATGGGGTGGGGCTGCATCTGCCTCGTGAAGTGTGGGCACTGTGGAAGGTGCCGGGACCGGGAGTCGCCAACCAGTTGCAGACAGGCAGGTCCTAATGCCTGCCGGCCGTGTGGTCCTGGCCGGGTTGTCTGGCCTCTGAGCCTCAGGCTCTCCGGCTGTGAACAGAAGCAATGCCTGCATTAGCTGCCGGGGACCCATGAGCTGATGTTACATCTGCACTGAGGACTCTGTTCCTGCAGGCCTGTGTGTTCCTCCCTCAGCACAGATCACCACTGGCCTACTGCTTAGGAGATAAGTCAGAGGCTGGATGTGAGCCCAGCTCTTCAGCACAACACCCACTAGGCCTGGCCATCTCTAAGCTGTTTTTATAATTATGCTTTCTTTCCCATGCCCATGTGTGTTGATTTCCCACTGAGACGCTGATTAAGCCTGTTTTTCCTCCCATAATCTGACCAGTTAGTTCCCCAAAAGGTGTGCAGGTGCTCATTGGAAAAGTTCCACCTGGAAACAGGTGTCTCTGCTTCCCCTGGCCTTGCTGGGTCTGCCTTACAAGCCCATTATTTTCTCTGCAGGAGCAGATGGAGGAAATGAAGAAGAAGGAAGACCATTTAGAAAAAGAGATGGCAGAAGTGATGGTTCAGAACAAGAGGCTGACGGATCCTCTGCAGAAGGCCCGGGAGGAGCTGCTGGAGCTCCAGAAGAAATTAGTCAACTATGAGAAGGATAAACATGCCCTGGCTGTGAGTCTCCTCCGGAGGGCTCTGAGGGAGTGCTCATCTAGGGGCGGTCCTGAGCCAGTGCTCTGTCTGAGGCCTGCCTGGGGGAGCCTGGGGCCTCTGAGGTTGTGAGCTCACCTGGTGCCCCATTTGTCACCCTCTCCTTCCCCTGGGAGTCCCTGTAGGGCCAGTGAGGAAGCCTGTGGGTTATCTCAGGGAAACAGATCCAGCCTGAGAGGGGAAAGCCCCTGCAGTCCTGCTCCTGCAAAGATGCCGAGCTTGGTCTGCATGGCCCCTGCTGTTCTGCTGGCAGATGCTGTGCCTCTCTGCTGCTTACTCTTAGCCTTGCCACCTCCTGGGAGTCCAAACTGCACCAGCAGTGATTAGGCCCAACCACCTTTTCTGCCTCTTTCCCTCTCGTGTTCTCTCCAGAGCACAAAAGCCCGTTTGAAAGTCACTGAGAAGGAATTAAAAGATCTTCAGTGGGAGCACGAGGTGTTGGAGCAGCGGTTCATCAAGGTGAGGAGAGGGATAGGGATGGCCGGGCGCCTCCTCGGGGGGCAGGGGACGACGGCAGGAGGGATGCTCGGCCCCCCTCGGGAGGGGCACAGCTGGCGCGTCCGTGGGGGCAGGTGGGCAGGAGACTTTTTTTTCTGTTTGGATTTCTCCCTCTCCTTCTAGCACGATCCATCAGTGGTTATCTTGTCATGAGTGACCCTCACAAAGGTCATTCCCTGTGACCATCAGAGAATGACGTTCCCACCTTCCTGAATGTCATTGTGAGGCATCAGATGGTACCCTGATCTGGATCCCTGTGCCTCCATCTCTTCATTTGTAGATCCTGTGTGTTGTTATTAAGAGATGATTTGTGATGTGCTTATGCAAGGAAGGCGTCTGAGGGCAGAGAAAGTCAGTCCCCAGTTAGTGAAAACTTGGACAACTTGTGCAATGAAACCACGAAACTGAAGCTTGATCCACCCCTTCAGGACATGGCAGGGTGTCCTGAGCAGGTGCTGCCCTTCAGCCACTATTTCCAGGTCCTGGTGAATCTTGTGCTTGACGGCCTCTGTGTCTGTCGGCAACCCTGCTTCCTCCTGCGCTCAAAAGTTGGTCCGCAAGTGTTTATATGTCCTTACTGTGTGTTAAGTGCTGTGGATACCAAAAAGAAGTGGCAAAACATGGTGCGTGCCCTCAAGAAACGCACACTCTAGTGGGGTGACAGTATACAGTGACTGTCCGTACAATATGAATTGAAGGTACTAGCAGAGGGAAGGCACTGCAGTGAAGCAGACCAGAAGGTGGGATTTGAGCTGAGTCGCGAAGGAGTCCGGGGAAGCCAAGAGGCAGGTGGAGGAGAGAGGAGGGTCCAGGTCTGGAGGAGGGAGATGGCCTCCTGGCCAGTGTGGCTGTAGTGTAGAGAAGGTAGAAAAAGACTGGGGAGGTAGGAAGGGGCCAGGTGGTGAAGGACTCTGAATGCCAAATAGAGCCTTTCGTGTTTCATCCTCGAGGTAACAGAGCTAGGGGATATTACTAAATGATGTGGTGAGCCTTGCATTCAGAAAAGCCCCTTGGCAGCTACGTGGAGGTCGGAGAGCGTGAAGTAGAGGGAGACTTGAGGCAGGGAAGCCTGCGGCAGTGTGAGTCACTGTGGGAGAGACACCGGGGAGGTCATAATGACAAGACCAGATGGCAGCTTGGAGCTACAGTGGGAGGCTGAGCGAGCAGCTGAGGACAACGCTGAGGTTGCAAAGTCAGGCCAGTAGTAGGAAGGTGAGGAAGATAGGGAGGGCTGGGGAAAGATAGATAACAAGCTTAAATTGGAGATGCCAATGGGTCATCCAGTTTGAGGTGGTGATACAGGCCAGAGAATTGTCTGTATCCAGATGGTGGCTGAACTCTTAGGCACTGATGAAATCTGTAGACAAACATGGCTTTATACTTTTATTCTTTTTTCTTTTTTGTGAGGCACTCAGGGTTAAGTGACTTGCCCAGAGTCACACAGCTAGTAAGTGTCATGTCTGAGATTGGATTTGAACTCAGGTCCTCCTGACTCCATTGCACCACCTAGCTGCCCCTACATAGCTTTATACTTGGTTAAGCAACAATATATGGCAGGTGAAGGCTGTCTTGGCCTGTACCTTTCTGAATTTCTTGAATTGTGGTTATGTTTCAAAATGGTGCTTGAATCACCGTCATGGACTACAGAAAGCGGATGCTTTCCTGTGATATAGTGAAATTTTTACTTCATAAATGTTCATGTTACACATGGGCAATTTGTACTTTGTGAGATATTCTAGGGGAATTAATTTCCTTTTAAACTAATTAAATTTGTGACATTTGAATATAACCAATTAGAGATTGATATAGAATCCCCAGGAAAGGTTCTTCCTTAACATTCATCACAATTACAGTGATTGATCGGTCAATAGATATAAATAGATATAGATAGTTATATCTTCTTCAAAGAGTGAATTAGACATGATGCCTTCATTAGGATGCTGATGGACTTAAGTGATGGGATGTCCCAGGATATTGTCAGGAGACATAGTGAGAAGACTTCCAGGCCCCCCGGCTGCTGGTGTCTTCTTTTCTGAGGTCGCCCCCTGTCCAGTTTATCTTGTACGTACCTGGTTATTTTCACGCCGTCTCCCCTGTGAGAACGTCAGCTCCTGGAGACCAGGGACCCGCCTTGCCTTCCTTTGGATTCCCAATGCTCAGCACACACGTTGTGGTTACCCAGTGAGCACTTTGTAAGTGCTTCTTTGTGGTCCTACCGACTTCAGCAGGAAGGGGACAGGAAGTGGCTGGGAGAGCGAGGCGCTGGCTCCTGGATCCTGGCGGTGTCATGAGGCCGGGAGCCGTCCTTCCCCGCTTAGCGCACAGGTGGGGACTGATGGAGAAGAAGGCGAGTCAGGAAGGAGAGACTTTACTGTTATTTGACTGACAAGTGTAACCTGATAGAGTTTTGTCATCTTTCCCAAAAGTTTTTTAGCATCAAATATCAGAGGAAAACAAAACTTTGTCCTGATAGCACTAAAGACGGGAATTTGGCAGCAAATTTCAGCGAAATTCTAACCAGCCAGCCGTTGCTGTTGTTATCATTGTTCAGTTGTGTCTGACTCTCCATGACCGCATTTGGGGTTTTCTTGGCAGAGATACTGGGGTGGTTTGCCATTTCCTTCTCCAGCTCATTCTACAGATAAAGAAACTGAGGCAAACAGGGTGAAGTGACTTGCCCAGGGTCACACAGCTAGTGTCTGAGGCCAGATTTGAACTCAGGAAGATGAACCTTCCTTAATCCAGGCCCAGTGCTCTGTGCTCTATGGTAGTCCTGATTTTAGTTGGGAAATTAAGGCATGGAACAGTCCAGCAGCTTGCCCAAGACCATATGGCTAAGCAGTGGTGAAGGAGGAAACCCAGGAGTCTTCCCTGCGATAGGGCTTAGCCCCCCATTCCACTCTGCCTCTTATCTTTGAGACTGTGGTTCCTCTCATTTTCACCAAGTCCACATCTTTTCACAGTGTCCATTTGAAAGAAAGGGCTTGGTACTGATTCTTTCTGTGTGCTAGAAGTTTCCCTGTGTACTCTACCTTAAGGGCAGTCACATGTCACTGGCCATCGTGTGTGTTGGGGAGAGGGCTTTGGGTGCAACTGTGAAACATTGGGATGAAATGTAAGACTTGTTTAGCACGATTACAGTTAGAAACTGCTATGGCCATCTCCCCCTGTCATCAGAGAGGTGACAGAAACGTATGTCATTTTCTCTGCATCGAATCATGAGTATTCTGTGGGTCTTGTTAATGAGCCATTTCCCTGAGAGATGACTTGGTTTCTCCCCATGTCCTTGTCTCCTGAGCCAGGTACAAATAGAGCGAGATGATCTGTATTCCAAGTTTGAGAAGGCCATCCAGGAAGTACAACAGAAAACTGGCTTCAAGAATCTGATCCTGGAGCGCAAACTGATGACCCTGTCGAATGTGATGGAGAGGAAGGATGTGCAGCTGAACGAGATCCTCTCTGCCTCCAACCTTGACCCCGAAGCCCTCTCGGTGGTCTCCCGGAAGCTGGAGGTATGGGCTCTGGTGAAACAGGACACGCCTGACTCACTGTGCTTTCCCGTAAGACTGGGGAATTTAGGTGACCTAACAGCGCTCCTGTTGTTGAGGGTTTGCTACACACTCAGTCCTGCTCTACATATTGTTTTCCTCATCATATCCATTGGAACTTCTTAGCCAGCTGTATCTCTGACAGTTAAGTGATGATAGGTTAGAGAGAGAGAGAGAGATCCTAAAAGTCTCTTTGGTGGTCTGCTTTCATCCTGGCTCCAGCGTGGACTCCCTGCATGTCCTTGAGTACGTAAATAATGCATGGAGAAGAGAGTTGTCAGCTGGCCCTCTGTCTGTTGAGATCCAGACTGTTGCCATTTTTGACGGGGGGGTGGGGTTGGCGGTGGGGATGGGATAAATGCTCTTTCTGGAGAAGGGGACCACCAGTTGTGCCATATTGGTGTGGTGGGGCAGTCACGTATCTAACCGCATAATGGGACAGCAAATGACATTTCTCATATGAGTCAGTTAGGAATCAGGATCCCAGTGCTTCTCTGTTTCAGTCCCGGGTTAAGGGGTGTGAAGAGTGTGCTCACTAGCTGAGTCAGAAGACCCTGGACTGCCTCCCAGCTCAACCACCTACTAGTGGCCCTGGGGCTCAGTTTCCCCCTATGTAAAAGGTGTGGAAGTTCAACAAGATGGTTTCTAAGGTTCCTTTGAACTCTAACTGTGCAATCCTAGGATTTCATAGAAAGAGCAGGTGGAACAGAGCAAGGGACTCCGTAGTGCGACCACAGGGGGTCGTAGACATCGGAATTCTAGGTTTGGGTGGGAGAGACTTTTATAGAAATTTAACAGGCAGTGTTTGGTCTCAAGCTTTTGGGTTGCTTATCACAGAGACGGATCCAGAACCAGAAAAATGGTGCTTTTCCCCGAAGGCCTTTCTCAGTTTGTATTGCCTCTCACGAATAGAGAGGAAGTCTTCAATCTTTATCTATGGAGGTGTTTTTCTGTCTTCATGACCATTGGAGCTTGCATTTCAGGGTCACTTGATGTAAGATTACCTTGAATATGTTTGCTTAACTTTAATGCTCCGTGGGTTCACCTTGGTGAAAGATGCCTTCAGTTTTCCTCCTGGTTTTGGTGTCTGCCATCTCCCTGTGCTCATGTACAGAGTTCTCGCCTCTGGCCTTACCCTTGAACTTTTGAAGCCTTCAAAAGGGATGAAGGCAGAGGACAGCTCAACATATTAATCGTTATGCTCTGGGACTTTTTTGCTGGCCTCTCTCTGCCTCTGCACAAGCTTTACCTAACTGGACCTAAGTCCACACAATTTTTGCATTGAGCTAGCTGCCATGGATAAATGCAAGAGAAGTGGAGAATTTTCCTCTCTGTTGAGGGCACGTTCTGACCCCCTCCCATGTTTAGAGAGCAGAATGGGGCTGCTTTTGATGGTTCTTGGAGGCCCCGTGTGCATCAAAGTTCTTTCCTTTGGAGCCAACACAACCCTAAATGGATTCCAATCTTTTCTGCTAATCCATCTATTGATAGAGACAGCTTACTGTAGAAAATGGCTTGTGTGGTATGGTGGGAATGTGATGGGGGACGGAAGGGGGCAGAGAACCTCTGATCAGGAAACCTGGAATCCTGAGTCTGAGAGGGAGGGGACACCTCAGGGGCCTGCCTGATTTGTCCTTTCAGGGACAATGGGGTTGTTTTATCCTCATTTGACAGAAGCACAGATTTGTCCAAACTCACCCACCATTGAATGGCAGAGTGGTGCCCGGAGCCTATGGTTCTCTTCTTCTCATTTCTGGCCTCTTTTCCCCGCCCACCCTGCTCTCTGAGCGAAGAGTCCTGGAGGGCTGATTAGCTAAAGGAAGCTGTCAGACAGAAACCACAGTAGACCAGCTCTAGGGCACATTCACGTTCCTGTCTCAGAGGGTGATACAAGCGGGAAGCAAGTTCCGATCTCACTAGGGGAAGAAAGACCCCTCCCCCCTTCACTCTCAGACCAGTGGGCTCAGTTGTAGCAGTTGTGGGCCAGTGGTCAGAGGCTTTCTGGGCATTGCCCTAGTCTGCTTGACTGTGTGCCCATACCCAAGGTTCTCTTCAGTGCATAAATCACAACGTGTTTTGGGCTTAGCACTTTCCACTCGAATCATGTGTCTTAGCCAACCTTTGATTTCCCTCTTCAGGATGTTCTGGAATCTAAAAACAGCCTCATCAAGGACCTGCAGTATGAGCTCGCCCGGGTTTGTAAGGTGAGATGGTGCTGGGCGAGGGGCTTTGGGGCAAGTAAGAGGGAAGGGAAGTGGGTGCTGACACTCTGAAGAGGCAGTGGGTCCTTTCATGCTGGCACCACCTCATTACCCAAACCTCCTTCCGAGTGTTGTCCAGAATCAGCACTAGGGCTGACCAGTAACGAGAGAGCCAGAGCGTGCTTGGGTGTTCGGTGTTCCCTGTCCGTACAGACATCCCACACCGCCCTTGCTTAGGTTCTCTGACTTGGATTTGGAGTCAGCAGCCTGCATTCTGATTCTAGCTCTGCCATTTAATACCTGGGTGATATCAGGCAAGTCATACCAGCCACAGGGACGCAGTCGCCTCTTCCACACTAGATGACCCCCTCAGGTCCTCTTCACCTCCATATCCCGTAACCCTCTTCCCTTTCATGGAGGTGTGTGACACATCTGCTAAAGCTCTGTGGTCTCCGCTTAGTTACGTGACAGTCACCTGCTCTCCCGGAGAAGGAGGACCAGTTTTACCAGAATCTCAGGTGTGGCCAGCAGTCTTCTAGAGGCCGTTTCGCCAAAAGAGATTTACCAGAAATGGACCCTTTGTTTCTTTTTTGGGTTGAATTGGGTGACCTTTACTGATTAATCTTTGTCTCTAAGCGGCCAGCAGCGTCATGCACAGAGATGTCAGTAAATGAATGGTTTGGGGTGATCGTTTGATACGTGATTCTGGGTCATCCCACAGGCACCTGCCTCTGGCTAATCCGCTTCCCCAGGAGATCCTCCATCTCATCCCCGTCACTGGTTTGGGGTCCTTTGGCATCTGCCTCAAGTTTCTGGGTTTTCTTTTCCTTCTATAAGTTTTCCATCTTCTTCTGTCTCACAGTCAGGATGTCTGCCCTCCAGTGTCTCCAGACGTATGGTCCTAGCTCAGCCACCTCTATGTGACCTTAGTCTTTGGTTTTTCTTTTGGAAATGTGCTGTTAACCCTTTAACCTTTTCTTCTCTTCCTGGCCACCTCAGGCCCTGATCTCTCTCAGGGCACAGCCAAATTTGGGGCCTTCTCCTCCCATATCACACTTTAGGAATTGTGGCCCTAGAGTGAAAATAATTGGATGCAGCTGCTCAAGCTGACATTTGGCCCACCGTTTTTCTGACTCTCGATATTCAGCAGTCAGTGACTTAAGGCCTGGGAGTGCCAGGCCCACGAGCTTGTCTCCTTGCCGGAGGACAGCAGAGGGATTTGTGGAGGAGTGACCTGCAGACATAACGTGGTTCAGGTTAAGTGTTTGCTTCTCTGCCCCGAATCTGTCTTACACCCACCAGGCCCATCGTGACCTTTCCCCGATACTTACTGTAAAAGGCCTTTGTGTGTGTTAAGATGTACACCAGAATCCAGTGGTGGCACGGAAAGTCTTTGCTGGCAGAGTCCCAGCTCAGGCAGGTCCCACAGAGCCAGAAAGTCTTCATTAAAGGCCCAGTGATGGACAGTGTGTCTGATGTTTGAGGAGCAACCTGGATAAATCAGAGAGGCCCGTGGCTATTTGGTGCCTTTTGTGGGGCTTGCAGTCTGCCTTGGTGATGGCAGTTACCCACATTGGTGTAGACTCAGACCCTGGAAGTGCATGAGTAAACAGATACGGTGCCCTGGGTCAGGGCACCAGACTGATGGGCTCATTCCCTAGCAGATCCCTGCCGCCCCCCCTTTGTTCTCCCAGCTCTGCTCTCACCTGGCTTCCATACCTCCGGCTCCTTCTCAGCCCCTCTCTCTTTCTGGCCTCCTCCTTGTTTATTCTCCCAAACCCTTTTTCTAGCTCCTGGCATTCCCCTGACGCTTTGGCCCCGGTGCGCTTTCTGCCTTGTCTGTCTCTTGTCCACCACAGGACTGCTCTTTGGTTCTTTTTCTTGGTGAAGAGAATTTTTAATATGAGGCATATCCATTATGGGAAGACCCCCCCCACATATATGTATGTGTGTGTATATATAATATATATATATGTATGTGTGCATATGTGTGTATGTATGTATATCTGATTATCAAACCGTGTCACTCTCAGTTACTCTCATTATCTTATGTTATAAACAATGTAATTTATTCACACCGCCCCCTACAGATAGCCAAACCAGGGAACTAAGAGATAAGTTAAGTACCAGCAGGTCTACCTTGGCTCCCAGAAGCTCCCACTACATTTGTGACCTTTAAGTACCATTCCTTATGGCCGCATTGTACATAAACCCAAAGGTCAGCCTGAGGGAATGTAGAAAGATCATGTCCCAGTGAAGGCCACGGTCAGTTCTCACTCATCAAGGGAGCAGGAGACTACTGCTCCTGGATTCTTCCTCCGTTTTGGCCATTTCCTCCTCCTCACATCCCAGTCACCCCTAAGACTTGGGGGGGAAAAAAGACAAAAATCTATGTGTGTTTTTTTGACTGTTTGGTAAAAAAAGTGCAACAGAGAGAAGATTGAAACACTTCACTCAGGGTTTGGGATTCCCTGCATTTTAGTTATCCAAACTTCCTGTCACATGAGCATTGACAAATGAATGTTAGCTATATTTCCTCTGAGAATAAGCCATCCCCAACTGAAACATGGCCAAAGGCTAGAAACAATTTTCAGAAGAAGCAATTCGAGTTGAACGAATACCCGGAATCACTAGCAGGAAGAGAAATGTAAATTGAAACAATTCAGAGGTTTCACCTCTTACCTAAAGGCAACAAAAGATGAAAATAGAAATGTTGGAGGGGCTGTGGGAAGATGGGAACAATAATCAGGGTCGGTGTTGCTGTGACTTTGTCCTGCCATTCTGGAAAATGACTCGGAACAATACTAAAAAAGTCTCTGAACCTGGCATACCTTTGACCCCCTGATAACCGCTGCCAGGCAAATGCCTGGGGAGAACGGGGGGGGGGTGTCAAAAGCCACATATATACAGAAGTATTTATAGCAGCACTTTTTAGAGTAGCAAAAAATGGAAGAAAGGGAGTAGCCGATGAATGAGTTGTGGTGATTGAATATAATGGAATATTAGTGCAGCACATGGAGTCTGTTTTGCTTGACTATCTTTGAAACAAGGGTTTTGCTTTTCTTTTTTTTCTTTAAATGGGGCTGGGGTGAGAGGATGAGAAAATATTTCCTTGTAAGTGAAAAATAAAGATTGATGCGGTAAGAAATGATGAACATGAAGAAATCAGAGAAACTTACAAAGACTCCTCTGAACTGAGGTAGAGTGAAGCTAGAACAGCTTGCATGGCCTCAGTAATGTGAAAGCAAACAAAACAAAACAAGCTAAAAAAGGGTTTTGCAAAGGAAAAAGAAAAGAAAACCATGAAAGACTTCGTAAGTGATCAGTGCAGTACATGATGGCAACTCCAGAGGACCATTATGAAATCTGTCTCCGGCCTGGGGGATAATGGAGGGGAGGTGATAGGAACTTCAGAAGGAGGCCTGCTTTTTCACCTGGGGCCACTCTGGATTTTTCCTGGCACATATTTGTTCCAAGGGAGGGTTCTTTTAGTTTGGGCTGGAGGGGCCGCCGGGAGCAGAGAATAATGTTTAAAAAAAGAGGAAAAGCCACAGTGAGGAAACAAAGTCCAAGTCAGCACAGGAATAAAAGAAGCACCGTGGTGGGCCCAGGGCTGCCCCTCTGACCTTCCTTTGCCTTTCTTTTCCTGCAGGCACACAACGACTTGCTGCGAACCTATGAGGCCAAGCTCGTTGCCTTCGGCATCCCTCTGGATAACATAGGGTTCAAGCCTCTGGAGACTGTGGTGATAGGACAGAGCCTGGGGCATGGCCCCGCCGGGCTGGTATCTATGCCAACGTAGCCTGGGGGGACCGCAGCCGCCCTGCCCTCCCCTCCCCAGCTACAGACATTCTTTAGCCCTGATGCTGCACGTGGCCAAGGGGCTGAGGCCTGGTGAAGCTTCAGAGATGGTTGCTCTGGATTGTGCCTCTTTTCATGGACTTAAGGTCGGTTATTTTTTAAAAACTTCAGCAGATGAAAAATTTTTAACTAGTCTATATCTCTTTGCCTTGCTCTGTCTCAAGGCTTCATTAAAGTGGGCCCAGGTATAGGAAAGAAACTATGCAGTGTTTTCTTGGTGAATGGTTCCCCCATCCAAGTATCTACAAGGGTCTGCCCCCCCTCAGATTCACCCCAAACCCTCCCTGCACACGCTTCTCCTGGGCCTGCTCTCCTGTCATCCCCATGTACCTTCTGGCTGTGGCCCTCCCCAAGATCTCCCAGGACTCCTAGGAGCCTCTGCCCCTGCCTCTGGGTGTTATACCGAGAAATGAGCGAGTTGACCACCCAAGCTAATTTTAAATTGTGGACTTTATTAGCGCACGGCTGCCAGGGATATTCACATCCAAATCAAGCAGCTCCCATCAGGGGTTGAGCTAGGGTTTATATAGGGAGTGTACAGGACAGGGAGGGGGATGGATCTTTGAAGTCTGGCTGGTCAAGGACACCCTTCTCCCTCTGTGTAGATATGATAATGCTCTGCAAACTTTCCTGAGCAGCCAGATAAGGGTCTTGCTAAGGAATTTGGAGTTTTCCAGAGATATGATCTGAGGGCTAGGACCTGAGCAGCCAGATAAGGATCTTGCTGAGGCCCATGCATGAATACTGCTAGGCACAGCGTCCTTGGGCTGGGGAGTGGTTGTCAGAGACAGTGTTTCTGAGACTACGGAAGCATTTTGGGGCAAAAGTATAAGCACAAGCACCCGAGCACCCCATCATTACAGGTCAGGGATCACACAAACCAGACCGGGTGTCCTGGCCTCTGGTATAAACATAATTATCTAAAGCCATTGTATTGCAAGTTTTCTTATCCATTTGCTTTGGAGGTATGGGCTGTGCTTAAGCCATGCAGGAGTACGTTTCACTATTGTTTAGATTTAGGAGGAAAGAGGTCTGGGGCAAGATGAAGCAGCAACTTCTGCTTTCCATTGCCTAAAGGGCCCTACTACCTAAATGGTAAAATAATGTTCTGCATTACATGGGCAGAGCCACCAAAGGGGAGCCTTTGGGTCTGCAGCCACCCACCTGCCCCTCTGTGGACCTCTGTCTTCAGGGGTGCTGTGGGCAGGCTGGCTTTCTCATGAAGCCTTGGTCAGAGAGGGCCCTCAAATCCCTGGGGAGGCAGTGAAGGAGGAAGCAGCCCCTGCCGAGAGATCAGCACAGAATTTATTGATCTCTTCAGCAGCTTGTTGGGGAGCTACCAGGTAGGGAGTGAGACTAAAGATGCTGGACAGAAAGTGGCCGGGGCTGGGGGCTGGCAGGCTGGCAGTGAGGCAGGGCGGTCCTGGCCAGCTCACTTGTCTCTCTGGTTCTTGGCCATCTAGCTTCCTCTGTAGGTGGTGTAGGAGAATGGACTCAGCAGCAGGGGCACGTGGAACTTGTGGGCCTCGTTTGTGATGGTGAAAACAACCTGAGAGAGAGAGAGAGAGCAGTGGGCGGGCGGGACACAGGTAGGTGAGGGAGCCCGGCGTGGGCAGGCATCCACCGGAAGGGGCTTCTCCAGAATGAGAGGGTGGGACCTTTAAGGCCCAACCCAACGCCAGAATTCTGACCTGCTTCCCAGGGAGCAGGATCCTCACTCAGGATGGATCTCAGGACATGCAGAGAGACTTTCCACATTGAGGGAGGAGTGCTTGGCTCTGATGAGCCCTGCTTAATCAAGAGCGGGCCACGAGCTAGCTGGAGGCAGGAGAGCAGGTGGGTTGGGCTCTCCCCTTCAAAGGGGAGCATGAGTAAGAAGAGGCTCAGCTTTCCTGTCCACAGAATTAACCCTGAGCAGACCAGGGGCGTGTAAATGAGGTGTGTCTGCAGTCTGGGGGTGTGATGGCACCCAGCCTAATTGTGTCTTGGCACTCTGTCCAGTGCCTTTGTTGGGAGTTCAAAGGTCTTTGGATGCTTGTTTCTCACATTTACTACTGGACAGACAGGCTTTAATATGCCCATTATGCAAATGTATTATTATTATTATTATTATTATTATTATTATTATTTTTTGCTTTCTCACTTGAAAAAAAATCTGCGAAGAGAAAATCAGGAAGGCTTCCTGCCCATTAGGTACACTTGGAAAAGTCACTCAGGGCAGGCAAGCCTGGAGCGTCACAGCCCTCCACTGATGACATCTCTAGACAGTTGTAGAAACTGCCCCGGCAGAGAGCTCCAGGGATTATTAGCCTCATACAGCTAGGCGGCACAGCAGGTAGCACACTAGACTCAAGAAGACCTGAGTTCAAATCTGGCCTCAGACAGTAGCTGCGTGATCCTGGGCAAGTCTCTGCCTCAGTTTCTTCATCTGTAAAATGGGTGTAATATTACCACCTAACTCCTGGAGTTGTGGAAATAAGATGAGATTAGATGTGCAACCCTCAAAGTGCTGTGTCAGTCCTAGCCATTCCAGTGTTTGCAGAGCTGAGCCCAGCATTCCCAAGCCTCACCGATCCCATGACTTCTCTGCCCCTTATCCTGACACCGTCCCCATCCCCTTCATCAGCTTTTACCTCCACATATGGATAGAAGCTGGTTTGTCCCATCTTTTTCCAATAACCTTCCGTGTCAAAGAACAGCTTGTAGGTGCCGGCCTTCATTTGTTCGGGAGTTAAGAGCCCTGGGCAGCGGCCATCAGTGTTGGTGTAACTAGAGAAGGGAAACACCACGAGGGGTCAGAAAGGGCAGGAGCTCCCGCCTGGCTCAGGCCACCTCCATGATCGAGCTCCCCCCAGCCGGGGCCAGGGCTGACTTCTGACGGGGGCGGCGGGGAGTGAGGCCGGAGGGGTTCTCCAGAGGCAGTGCAGGCTGGTCTCCAGGCCCAGGGGAGGCTGTCTGCAGCAGGCATTCTGCTGTGGGTGGCAGGGTGATTCTCCCCTGGCCCAGCTGCACAAGGTGATTTTCTGTGTCAGCCCAGCATTAGCAAAGCTGTGACTTGTCTGATCCCCTCCACCCCCGCCCCAAGTGGTAATGGACCCTTCAGCCCTTAGTTGTTGAAACCTCACCTAAATAGTTAATTTTATGAACTGGGAACCAAATCAAGCCATTCAGAAAAAATGGTGAATCATTTCAGGCCCAAACGGAACTACTGTCTTTTCCAAAACAGTTAAACTCGGTCTAGAACCAGAGGACCAACCCTTAGCTGAGTCCTTTCCCTAGAGAGGGTGGCCTGTCCCCCTGTAGCTGAGGACGCCTCCCTTGGTCCTGATAGTGCTGTCCAGGCCCGGCTGGAACTCCCACCTTCCCTCCCTCAGACAGCCTGGCTTCCCGGGCTTCTTCCGGCCCTAACACCCTGGTCATCATAAATGACCACTAGAGGGAGATAGACACCTTCACAGAGGACGCAAATAAAGGAACAGAGGAAGGGAGGGCCCTCAAGGCCCTTTCCCTAGGCTTTCATCACGTTCTCAAGCACAGAGCTCCCATGCCCAGGTAAGCCCTAATTAGATTCAGTCCAGCCCTGTGATCATGGGGCCTGAACAGAGAGGCCAGGGATGCGGCAGTAACGCCGCCTCCTGCCTCTGCGCCAGGAGTTCACCTCCCCTGAAAGGAGGGCTTGGCTCTCTGAGGTTCCTTGCCAGCTCTGTAGCCCAGGGCCCAGTTATCCTAAGCCAGTGCTGCTGCCCCTTGAGTAAAAAGCCAGGCTCTTTGGAAATGGACTCAAAAAGACCTCGGGTCTCAGGCCTGGAACAAGACTGACCACCCAGGGACGGCCCAGCCTGCTCATTGCCCGGTTGGGGAGAAAGGGAGAGGCCTGAGGAGCAGACTTAGGGCCTCTGCAGACCTGTGGTCTCTGCCTTACAACCTGTACACACAGGTGGACCCTAGACAGGACCCAGGAGGAGGAGGGGGAATCATCCTGGCTCCTGCCCTGGGCCGAGTCCCGTCTTCCTCTCCCTCCTGTCCATCCACCCTATACAGAGGTGCTCAGAGAGCAGGCCCTGCAGCGCCCTGGGGCAGAGGCCCAGCCTGCTCAGGCCCCCTTACCTTTTCCTCAGTTCAGTCCATCGCTGGTCACAGTCCTCAAGCCTGAAGAGGCGAAGGCAGAGGCCCCGGGCCGGCAGGCCCGAGGTAGTGTCCAGTACATGTGTGGTCAGTGGGCTGCTCACCACCTCCATGCCTCGGCTCTGCATGGCAATCAGGGAACATAAGGAGCAGCTGGGGAGGACTTCCCTCCCCTGCCCTCCAGCCCCAGCCCAGCCGCCTCTGTTGCCACATCTGGGGGGTGTATGCTGAGAGCAGCCTAACCCGACCCATGATTAGGCAACTCTTTAGAGGGCAAACAGTCGTCCCCAGGGTCAGAGAAACCTGATACTGTGATTCTTGGGGCTTAGGCCCAGAGTGTTCACTACACACTGGCTGAAAGGAGAGGGAGTCCTCCCCTTCACAGCCAGGAGAGGTCTAGTTTTGAAGCCCAGCTCTGACCGTGGCTGTCTTTGGGACCCTGGGCAAGTCACTTAACCTCTGAACCTCAGTATCCTTATCTGTAAAATGGGGGTGACAAAACAGTACCTGCTTCATAGGGCTATTGTGAGGAGCAAATGAGTTAAGGCACAGAAAGGGCCATGTCAATGACAATTATTGTCATTTCTCATGCAAGACAGGGCCAGTCCTCAAGGAAATCTCCTCCCGGATTAGAAATAGACACCACCTGCCTGGTAACCTGGCCTGGCCTGTTCTCCCTCTCGCGGTCCATTGTGCCTTCTCTGAGAATGGCAGCACTGGGCATGGGGCGGCAGTGTACTTCTCTCTGGCTAGGCTTTGTGCAGCTCCCAGGAGAAGCAGAGCCCGGGGCTGAAGTTTAGGTGACAGGTTTATGAAGAGCCACAGAAAGGGGCCCTCCCGGCCAAGGGCTAGGCCCGCCTAGATCAGCCCTGTGAACCCTCCTCCTGCTCCGGGCCCAGGCCAACCCCAGGCTATCTGGTGATCTGCTCAGCCTTGTCCTCCTCCGGCCCTCAGACATCCCTCTTACCTCGGTGGGGCAGAGATGTCTCTGGAGCAGGTGAAGCCGCACAGTGCTCATGGCACAGGTTACAACCTAAGGGAGGATCTCCAGGGTCCTAGCTGGCTCTGAGTCAGCAGGCCTGGGCTCAGAGAGTTCACCCTGGAGGTGGTGCCCTGAGCGGCCACTCTTAGGACAAGAGGGCAGAGACAGGGTCAGCTCAGAGGCCAGAGGTCAGCTCCCCTAAGCCTTGGCTCTCAGAGAGGTGGAGCCAAAGCCTGGTTTGTGCTGGGGCTCCCACAGACAGGAGATTCAAGCAGTTCCTCTCCTTTGTTACTCCCAGTGTGCCCCAGGAGAGAGAACTTTGGGGGGCTTCAGTTTCCTGCCATAAGCATGGCTCGTCACCCAGAGTCATTACCAACATGCCTGCTCCATCTAAGTCCCTCTTCCCTCTTCCCCCGGCCCAGCCCCCTGCCATCCTGGCAGCGGGAGCCCCTGTTCTACCCACCCTGCTGTGGACAAAGGCAGAGGAAAGCAGAAGCTTGCCCAGCAGAAAGAAAATCTTTAGGGAGAGGCCCCAGGATGATTAGGGACAGACTCCTCCCCAAACATACTGGATGTGAAGGCCAGTGGGAGGGATGTGTGCCAACCAGTTAGAGACACTGCCTGGGTCAGGCCAAGGCACGGTGGGAGGGGCTGGGGAGGAAATTAAATGAGGAGCCAGGGTGGAGGCATGGTCGGGCTGTCCTGGCTCCCGCTGCCCAGGCTTGCTTCCTTCTCCCCAGCACCAGCACTTCACCTTCCCCTGGGGCCATTTCATTCAGCTGATCACTCTGGTGGGCCCTCTTCAAGGCCCCTCCATGGCAGTCACCCAGGCCTCAGATGGACAGTTGGTCTCCTCTCTGCCGGTGAGAGGTTCTGAGGTGGAAGAAAACAAGTGACAAGCAATTAAAAACGTAGACCAGAGTAACGTCTGTGAGGAGGAAAGCTTTGGGGGAGAGAGAGAGGACAAGGAGGCTAAGAAAGGGAGCAAAGCATTATTGACTCTTCTTGGATTTTGTTCCTGTGAAGGAACCTTGGCCAATGGAATCTTCTCAGACTGATCAGGGAAGGGATAGTTGTGAAAAAAGGAAGGGGTTTCCCCAAAATGGCGTCAGATGCCAAGGGGATGTTCATTTAGAAACCATGGCTGTCTAGAGCGGCAGTTCTCATAAACACTGCCCATTTATCCCACCTGTTTCCTCTTCAGCAAAAACACCCCCAGAGGTGATGTTGTCTTTTGACCCACTCCAATTGATCTGAAATTATGTGTCAGATGGAGTATCCTGAAGACATTTCTGGGCCTCCCTTTTCCGTGCCTGTAGTAATGGCTTGCATCAGTTTAGAATCATGGGGAAGAGAGAGGGTGTTTCTGATAGCAGCACCAGTATAATACCTTTGTCCATTGCCCCTAAGTTGTATTTTTCAGTATGGAATGACTGTAGAATGACTGAGAATAGTTGGCCCTTTCCTCTCTCTGTCTGTCTCTGTCTCTCTGTCTGTCTCTCTTCTGGCTCTTGGCACCTCACATAGGTGCCATCCCATCCTCTTCCATCTTGGCCCAGCCTACAGACAGATATCTGAAGGCCCCCAGTCATCACAAGTGGATGGAGACCACACTCCAAAAACCACTGATAACTGATAAAAAGAAAAACTTGCTCTTTAAAACTATAATAATGGAGGAAAATTTAAGGGTCACCCACATCTCCATCCTTCCACCCTCCAATTAAGTGAGTACCCTTGGCTTAGACAACTACACCTTGAATTTGCCTAAGCTACAAATATTCACTGTGCTTAGAAGGAAGAGATATTGGAAGGTCAATGCGAGGTTTTGGATTTTCTGGCAGATGTCTCACTTTTGACTTTCTGGTTTGAGGTCATGATCATCCTATGTCCATGGCAAGAAGAGAGTCTGAAAAAAGACCAGGAAATCATTTGGTGTGGTGGCGGGGGAGGACAGAGACATTCTGCTCTTAGAATCATACTTAAGACTTTTCTTAATATTTAACCAGTGCATATGGAGCTGAATTTACCTGGAGTAGCCCTTCCCATGGAGAGAGAGAGAGACAGAACCTTATTACCTATGGTGATTAAAGGTGTCAGATTCTGGCCATATAAACCTGTGGTAGTGGTTTAATGATAATAATTCATATTTATATGGTACTTTCTTTACAAGTTGAGGTAGAACCAACCTCAGAGGTTTTCATGCAATTATGTAGGATTCCTTACCCTGTTTCCCTAATTTGGGCATGATCCTGGTTGATGGAGAGTTTACCAAATTCCTTTTCTATGCACAGGTCTTAGAATTTGGGGTAGAGTTTCCCCAAATGGGGAAACAGAATCTGAACAATTCAATAGAATAATAAAGGTTTTTCAGGAAATTACACATTATCAGTCATAAGCTAACTATAGTCTGACAACATTAAAACCCTCCATGGTTCTATGGTACCCAAGCTAGCCTGTCACCACTAATGTTGTAGGTTTTGTGTGTTTTTGTCTCTGTTCTCCATTCAGAATGTCCAGAGTAGAATATGACCACGTTTTCTGGATCAATGTCTAGCCAGTTGTTTGGTAAAATTCCATTCCCAGTAGAATGTAAGCTCCTTGGGGGCAAGATGTAATTTGTTTTTGTCTTTGTATCTCTCGTACCCAGAACAGTGCCTTGCATTTAAGTGTTTAATAAATTGAATTATTGAATTAAATTATTGAATTGCTTATTGAATTAAATTGATTTGAATTGTATCTTTCTGTCCCTAAAAAACCACAGTTAGCTTAGGATAGTAATAGTAAGTAGCAGCGCATGGTAAACGCATATTTATTTCTATTACATTCTGACATAAACTTTAGCCATACTAAACTCAGCTTTCCCCAAACTTCTCTGATGTTTTCCCATCCTTGTACCTTTGCTTATATGTTATCCTCTATCTGGAATGCCACCTCTCCAAATCCATCTGTCAAAATGATGCCCAGCTTAGATGCCACTGCCTCCATGAAATATACCTACATTCCTTCTGCTAGAAATGACCTTTCTTTCCTCTGAAATCCTAGTAATGCTATAGTCGACTTGTGCCCAACATATGTGCCTCGATTGGCCTTTGGGTGAGTCTTAAGTTTTTATTCTTTGGAGACTATGGCACTCCATGATTTATAACAAAAGCATATGCTTTTAGTGTTAGATATCCTATAGGCATCCCAGACACAATATGTCCAAAAGAGAACTCATTTTCTTCCCAAGCTCCACCAGACACACCATTCTTCCAGTCACCTAATTAACCTTGACCCCACATATCTAATCAGATGCCAAATCTTATCACTACTTTTTCCATAGCATCTCTTGTGGGTGGCCTCTTCTCTGTATTCACATGGTCTTCTACCCTAGTTCGGACCCTTAGTTCAGGCCTCTTTTTTGTCTCCCTGCCTCATCTCTCCAATCCATCCACCATACAGCTGCCATGTTTTTCCCAAAGTGCAGATCTGACCATGTCACTCTCGTATTCAACAAACCCCAGTAGCTCCTTGTTCCTCTACAACTAAATGTAAACTACTCTGACATGTAAAGCTGTTCACATCTTGTCCCGACCTGCCATTCCAGCCAACAGTCCAGCCAAACTGACCTCATTCACTCCTATCTCCACACCTTTGCCCAGGCAGTTCCCCTCACCTGGTATGCATTCCTGCTTCACTTCCGTCTCTTAGAATCCTGAGTTTCCTTTAAGGCTCACCTTCAACATAAGGCCTTTACTCATCTCCCCCTCAAAATTACCTTATACTTATTTTAGACGTATTTTGTTCTTAACTATGTATGTATTGTTTCCTCTGATAAAGTGTAGGCTTCTTGAAGGCAGGGGGAATTTCAATTTTTTCTTTGTTTCCCCTGTGCCTGGCACAGTGCCTGAACAGACACTTAATAAATTTTCCCTCTGGATGCCCATCAGTTGAGGAATAGCTGAACAAGTTGTTGTATATGATTGTAATGGAATACTCTTGTGCTAAAAGAAATGATGAACATGATGCTTTCAGAAAAACCTGGGCATATATGAACTGATGCAAAGTGAAATGAGCAGAACCAGGAGAACATTGTATACAATAACAACAATGTTGTTATGATGATCAACTGTGAATGACTTAGCTATTCTCAGCAATACAGTGATCCAAGACAATTCTGAAGGACTTACGATAAAAAAAAATGCTATCCATCTCCAAAGAAAGAACTGGTGAAGTCTGAATGCAGATTGAAGCATATTTTTTCTTCATTTTTCTTGGGGTTTTTTTTTGTCAGTGTTTTACAACATGACTAACATGGAAATATGTTTTGCATGACTGCACATGTATAACTTATATCAAATTGCCTTCTCAGTGAGGGTTGGGAGAGAGGAGGAAGGGAAGGAGAGAATTTAGAACTCAACAGTTTTTAAAAATTAATGTTAAAATTGTTTTTACATGTAATTGGGGAAAAAGAAGTTGTTAAGTTTTTAAAAAGTAAATTTTCCCTCCACAGCTTTTGTATTTTATAAAATAATACTGTTCACAAATGATCACAGTCCTTTATAAGAATTTACAAAAGGTTTTAATATTCTAAATCAGTCCTTGGCTGCCGTAATTTTAGCAAGAAAATCAAATATTTGCAGGTTGATTTGATTTGTAGATTCTTTTTCCCCTGTCAGACAATGCTTTGCATTGTTAGTTAAGCCTCTTTTCAGAATGGTGATAGTCCATATGGATATCTGTTCCTTTATACATTTCCCATTTTTCAACACCAATAACTTGTTTAAATAGGTCAGAATCAAGGCTATTTTAATTTCATGCTGTGTCTATCTCTTTTTTAAACTTCCAATTTGGTGCTTATTTTGATCTTTACTTGGATGGTCTCAACTGAACAGAGCTGCTTGAGAAATGATACATTGGTAATCAGACATTGCCCTCAAAATGTAGTAAATTTCATTTAAAAAAATTATGTTATGTAATGTGTGCCATGTCCAGCACCTTCTGGCCCTCTTCTTGGAAAATAGTATTCATGATAAAAAGGGTAAATAACAAATGTTGGAGGGACTGTGAGAAAATAGACACATTAATGCATTGTCAGTAGAGTTGTGAATTATTCCAGCCATTCTGGAAATGAATTTAGAAATATGTTCTCCAAGTCACTAAACTGTGTATAACCTTTGACCCAGTGATACTATTGACAGGTCTAATTACCCAGAGAGAACCAAAGGAAGAGAAAAAGGACCCATATGTACCCCAAAAAATATTTATAGTAGGGTTGTTTTGTTTTGTTTTTTTGTAGTGGCAAGGAACTAGAAACTAAAGGGGTGCCAACAATTAGGGGAGTGATTTGAACAAATTATGTGAATTAATGGAATATTGTTGTACTGTATGAAATGATAAAAAAAAGGATAGTTTCAGAGAGATCAAGGAAGATTTACATACAGGGTACAGTGAGTGTAAATGGAAGAACAATTTATGTAAGAACATTTTAAAGGTTTTTTTTTTCCAGTTGGGTCAGAGGAGGCAGGATGAAGAGAAAATATTTTTTATTAATTAAAAAAAGAAAACTATTAATCATATATAGATCTAGTTTCTATATAATCTGTAAGTCTATGAACCTTTTCATTTCTTGATCCTAAATCATGTTTCCTAATCTGTTGGGGATTTTTTTGTTGTTGTTTATTTTGGCTATCCTTTCCTATACTCATCTGTGCACTGAAGTCACCAAGTATTTAAATATATATTGTATATACATACAGTTGTCCCTTCCACATCGAGACTTTCCCCATCACAGTTTTGATATATTGCAGGTTGGCAAAAGAAATGGGAATTTTGGGGAGTTTTGTGGAAACCGCAGATGACACATGAAGGCCATCAGAGGATGCAGAAGAAGTTTAGAAACTCAGAAGTGCATAAAATATATATGTGTGCATATATAGTATTGTATAATATCAACATAGTTTATCTTTTAATACCATGACAATTCAGACTTCTTTGGCACAAAGGGAGGGCCAAAAAATTTAATGTGGATTTTACAGATCACGGGGCACCGCACCCCTCTAAACTCTGAGATGTGAAAGGGATAACTGTATTGATTTAATTTAGAGGTTCATATTCAGTCCTTCATAGAATTTCTCTTCTGTCGCATGTTATTGTATAACCTATAGTTTACTGGGGAGAGGGGTTGCTTTTTTCTTTTTTCTTATGCTCGTCATAAGCCTAGTATGACAAGATGACCCATGAAATTCTTGTTGCCTCTAGATACATGGTTAAAAACCATTCCCTTTACTTGCCTGTCCAAGAAAATCTTTTAGTCAGCAGCAGCCCCTGGTTTTCATTTCTAGTAAGAATATTTAGATACCAACCGATAAGGAAAAACCTCGCAGATTAAAGTGGGAACAATACTGTGTCCCTGTAGAGGCAGCTTGATGTAATGGAAACTCCACTGAACTTAAACTCAGAAGGCCTGGCCTCCAGGTGCTGCCATTTTATTTAGTATGTAGTATGTAGATATTTGTGTACATATCATGTATATATTTAGCATATACTCTAATTTATTTGATATTTAAGTCTTTAGTATTTCATTTATTATGTGTATATTTAGTATATCTATACAAGCTTATTTAATATTTAATTTATTATGTATATATTTAGTATAAATATATAAGCTTATTTAATATTTAGCTTATATGTATATATTTAGTATATCTTTACAAGCTTATTTAATATTTAATTTATTATATATATATTTGGTATACACACGTGTCAGTTTGTGTATATATTTGATATATATTTATGTATATTTTCATTTATATTTATGCATACATGTACCAGTTTAGTATTTAAGTATTTATTATTTAGTTTATTACGTATATATTATGTTTTAGTCTATGTATGTGTGTGTATAATATATAAAGTTTATTTAGCATCATCTCATTATCTGGTTAGAATTTTCAAGGTGCATTGCTTCTCACAACCATTAGGGGGAGGGATAAAGCCATCCTCTTCAAAGGCAGGAAAGAAAGCTACCCTGAGCCCTGGCCTCAGACCTCTCCTACCCATCCGCCAGTGGTCATGAGGAAGTTTAGAACTGAATGGTAAATTCCAGGATATTAGGTATTAGTTTTTGTCTTTCGTGCTCAGCCTTGACTCTGCAGTTACAGTTTGTCATCCACTTATCTGCAGCGGTTACCTAAACCCCTCCGGGCACAAGCCCTCATTCAACTAGGATGAAGTCAGTCCTAACAATTTACAACTCATTCCCACACATCTGGCTCTGGGTGAGAATACCTTTCCCAGCAGCCCCGAGTCCCACGAAGGCGATACTGCTACCTCCTTGTTCCACTTCCTTCCTCATTCTTTCTAGGGAGGTAGGGCCCCTCCGGGCTGCCAGTCTTCATGGTGCTCCAGTCTAATAAAGGATTCTTTTTTAGTTCTCTTTCCCCTCCCCCCCCATATACTTTCCACAAGCTTCCTCCTTTGGAAAAAGGCCATAGGACAGACTGGTTTGGCTCATTATTGACATCTGTCCCTTCTTGAGCATTTTCCTGGTCGTGAGTCTGGGGTTGGAGAAAAGCAGGTCCTGTGGTTATTCTTCTTCATGAGAATGGCCCCATCAGCTTTCCCTTTCCTGTCACACTGGAAGGGGTTTTTATGTAACAGGCTGCATT